GATTGAAATGAACAAAATTAGTTTTCCTATTTTCTTTTGCAACTATATTGTATCATTTTAAAATTAAATGTTTTTAATAATCATACAGTTATCATTTAATTTTCATGTGTATTCATTTCAACCATATATTAAACACATATGAAACACATCATTTAATGCAAGCTTTAAAAGGCATTGGTCTTCTGTCCTCTGGTGGTCAAAAACAATATCGCAGGAATAAACAAATACATTTGCTCGGAACCAAATCGTTTTCGCGAAACACACACGGACCTATTAGTGTGTGACACACCGTGAGTACGTACTCCACCATGTGGGATGACTGAAGGCGGTTTTGAAGTTTCTAATTTTACAATAGTCGTTGCTTACGTTTTGCTAAAAGAATGAACTGGTGTTGTTTTAGCTTAAAAGTATATTTACAAAATTTATTGTGAGTTTTAAAAAATATATTTATCGGCTTTACTTCGATTTAAATCATGGGGAAATCAAAGGTGAGTGTCCGCTTCTATGTTAGCTCATGGCTAATTGACCACGTAGTTAAAAATATTACTATTATTGTTTAGTTATGATAGCTTACATTAGATAGTTTTCTAAACGATACTGTAGTCAATACATTGATGTAGACAGTAAAGTTGGAATTAACCCGAGATTGTCCAACGTTAGCCACTGAAGCTAATGGCTAATATGTTGAGCCTAGCATCACTGAAGCCTGTTTAGCGAAAMATAATGTTGATATTTTCTTTCAAATCAGACCAAAAATCAGAAGAAGGCTCGAGCTGAAGCCAGCCATGAGGCAGAGGAGGCGTACAGATCTGTGCCCCACTCCTTCGTGTTTCACCGGGGTCAGGTTGGGAAAAATGTCGGYCAGCTCATCATGGACATGCGGAAAGTCATGCAGCCGTTCACCGCTGAGTCTCTGAAGGTCCGTCTGTCTGCAACTTCTGGAAAATACTGCTTTGCTTTATTTTAGAAAATCTGGATTTGACTTAATGTTAAAGTGTAATTATTTAGTTTCAGCTGACAGCTTCATAAATGTAGTATTGAAAATATTTTTATATTGACGCATACTTCTGGTAACACACACATATAAGTTTTTTTTATTTTTTTTTTTTAATGTAGGTCCGGAAAAAGAATGTCCTAAAAGATTTTGTGTCAGTTGCGGGACCACTTGGAGTGACCCACTTTATAATTTTTGGCAAAACTCCTAACAGCGTCAACATGGTGAGTCCTTCAACTGGAAAATATTTTGTTTTTGTTTTTTTATATATATAAAGATTGTGCTAATTTTAACTCAACTGTTTGTTTCTCATCCCTACAGAGAGTTGCTCGCCTTCCCAAAGGTCCCACGCTTTATTTCAAAGTCCTTAAGGTAAATATTTCAACACATCAGCAAAACTTGTTTGGTTAAAATAACGGGTTCAAGTGATGACAGTTTATTTCTTGATTGTTCTGTGATTATTTTTTTCAAAGTAAACGTACTGATGCACCCGTGCCACTGTTGTAATGTACGTGCCTTAATGGTTTTCACCAATTTTGATAGACTTCTTTATTTTTTTATTTTTTTTGTCCCCAGTATTCTCTTATCAAAGACGTGATATCCTCTCTGAAGAAGCACAGGATGCACGAGCAGCAGTTCATGCATCACCCACTTCTTATCCTCAGTAACTTTGGGATGGATGGCATGCACGTCAAACTGATGGCCACCATGTTCCAACACATGTTTCCTTCTATTAACGTGCAAAAGGTGCGCTTAGGATCGCTTAAACTCTGGTCACATTATTATTCAAGATGAAAAACCTTGCAAACAGGATGAGAGTATAGTCTTCTGATTAATTATGAAGATTTTTTATAAGTAAACGCTTTCTGATATCTTGGTTAACTTGTTAAATACAATGATAACTTTTCTCTTAGGTGTACTGAGTCATGGGTTTATTTCTTTTCCCCCCTGTCTCAGGTTAACCTCAACAACATTAAGAGGTGTGTGCTGCTTCATTTCGACCCAGAGTCCCAGGAAATACAATTTCGTCACTAGTAAGTGAGATATTTGGTTATTTTTGTGTTTTGATGCTGTTTGTTGTAAATTTAGGACTGGTGGGCTCAGATGATGACAAACTCTGACTTGATTTTTCCATGATATACGTTCAAAGTAAACGCACTGATGGGCCACCTCACAGTAAAACCTCAGTGTGATTTGTTTGCTTTCTGTCAGAGTTACTGAAGTGATTGTGTTTCTAACCTGCAGCAGCCTGAAGGTCGTCCCTGTCGGGATGAGCCGAGGAGTAAAGAAGTTGATGCAGGAGAAGTTCCCCAATATGAGCAAATTTGAGGACATCAGCGAGCTGCTGATCAAGTAAGATTCAGCTGTTGTGGTCTCGAGACTCGTTGCAAAGTATGAAATCAAACAGAAAAATGGTCGCCCTGAACTTTATCGAGTGATAGTCTGTTTTCTAGTGGTCCACACTCGGTGTAAACAAACAGTTGGTATTAACTCACTGATGGGGCTGTGTATTAGCAGGAATTTGGTGATATGAGAATAATGTCATATCACCAATAGATAAAATATTGTTAGGATTGTGTTTCTTGCTTTTTAGTTCATCAGATTTTTTTCATGAGTTTACAAAGAGGACTTTTAATTTGTAGCCTTTTATCATTTACWGCAGGACTATTCAACTGGCGGCCCGCGGGCCACATCCGGCCCGCGAGTGACCAAAGTTCGGCCTGCCTATTGGTTCATTCATCTCTTAGGTCCAAACCCCAAGTTTTCTACTTTAATTACTAGAAGTTCTTTTAGTTAAACATGGACATATTTGGTATCTACAGAAACATCAGAATCTTGGATAGAAGCTGTTAAAAAACATTTGTATGCACACAAGACAGTTAAAACTACAAGTTGAAAATAAAACTCTAAAAGTGAAAATAAAATTGGTTTAAAATTTTGGTTAATGAGAGATGTTAAAATAATATGTTTTAAACAGGAGGCAGAATGTGTTGTTTTTTTATATTGTTTTATTATCATTACTTTTATTATAGGGTTCTGTATGTTGTATTCATGATTAAATGCAGCAAAATAAACTATTTCAAAGGTAACAGATCTTTGTAATACTTTATATAATGACTTTACTTGCTGAGTTTTAGGCCCCTGAGCGGTTGACCTGCAGTAACTGTGGCCCCCGGAGCAATTTAGTTGAATAGCCCKGATTTACTGAATGGGCTGTATAGAAATAATATATGATTTTCAAAAAACATTGTTCTCTTTTAACATTTCTTAGGGGAGCAAATCTTTCAGAAAGCGAGGCTGAACAGGATGGCGAGGACAACATAACTGAACTTCCACAGATCTACTCTGGAAGAGGCAACATGGCCTCCCAGCAGAGCGCTGTCCGCTTGACTGAAGTGCGTAAGCAGGCATGGTTCTTGTATTTAACCCTGGATTTTTGGTGTCTGTTAAATGTTGTGTTGTTTCCTCAGATCGGTCCTCGTATGACCCTGCAGCTGCTAAAGATTCAGGAGGGGATGGGCGAAGGGAACATTCTTTACCACTCTATAGGTGAGTTCTTGACATCTTTAATTTATTTCTTCCTGCTGTTCAGATGACATGATGACAAAAGCTGTATGACTCGTATGATTTCTCTCTAAAAGTAAACGCTTACTGATTCATCTGAGGGGTTTGTTTACACACGTGACACAAACTGTTCTTCGGCTGATATATCTTCTGTATGTTGCTTACAGTATCTAAGACTGAGGAAGAAATACAGGAGATCCTGAAAAGAAAAGAAGCTCAGATAAAAGAAAAAGACGAACGTCGTAACCAACAGGAACAGAATATTGCTAAGAAGAACAAAATGCGGGAAGAGCACAAGTAATTCGTGTTTGGAGCAACTTTATTTTTTTTCTTGTTTGTGTTTCAAGTGTAAAACTAAATATTTCCTTTCTATCAGGAAAAAGAGTCTTGAAGGCATAAAGAAGAAACGAGCCGAAGCTGAAGAGGACAGTGAGGTGGAAGATCCAGGGAATCAGGATGATAAAGCTGCTGTTGAATCTGACGATGATGTGGAGTACTACAGGCAGGCTGTGGGGGAAGAACCAGATGAAGGTGAGTATAAAACATGCACTGTAAACCCTAAGTTAGTACTTATTTAAGTAAATCCACTAGAAAGTTTTTGTTGTTTTCTGCAGACATGTTCCCGGGTGCCAAGAAAAGGAGACGCTCAGAAGAGTCTCAGAAACCTGCCAAGAAGAGGAAGTTGTCTCCTGCGACGTCCTCAAAAGAAAAATTTTCCAAATCACCGAAAAGAAAAGGTGCAGGAGGACAAAACAGAGACAAAACGGAAAAAGACAGACATGCAAAAGGGTGGAAGAAATCTAAGGACGGGGAGAAAACTTTTAAAAAGAAAAAATTCCCCCCAGGAAAAGCGTTCGGCTTCAAGAAAGGTGGGGAGAGAGAAAATAAATTTGGTCAAAAAAAGTTTGGTGATAAGAGAAACAAAGACAAGTCATTCAGATCTAAAGGCCAGAAAAACCAGTCGGGTTTCAAGAAAAAAGGTGCAGGACGAAATCAAGGCTTCGCAAAGAAGAAAGGAAAAAGCTGAACTCTGCAGTTTCTCTCAAAAACTGGACTTTTGTGTGCAGAGCTGGGTTTGAGCAGCAGAGGGCAGCAAAATCTTTGCTCTCATTAAACCAGGTGAAGACTAATCTGTAAAATAAAATAAAAAAGATACTGTTTTATTGTCAACATTTGTTATGATGGCTTCAGAACTAAAATAAACCTTTTTTATAATGAAGCTGTACTCTGAAGTTCAGATTTTTTTACTTCAAGGCAATAAATTAATATGGTGTTTGAAGCACATCCTTTGTTTTTGTCTTAAGTTTAAAAATTTTGCTTTTAAAAAATAAACTTGACAATTAGTTTATTCAACGCTGCACTAGTCAGCATCTCTGAAGAGAAGCATACAGTAACTGGCCTAAATGAAAGGAAGTTTAGCAAATCTAAGTTTCAGAGAGATTATCTTGTGGTTGTGCAATACTAGTGTGTGAACTACATTCAGGGCATTTTTGATTGTAGCATTTAGTTTATCACATCTAAAAATGTGTTTTTCATGAAAGTTTACAATATTTTTAACATTCATTTGAAGATGGTTTAGGAAGGTTGAATCTGATGAGCAAGTGAGACTCATGATTAAATTTTAAAAAAGCTACTTTAATGTTTAGTTATTCTGCAACATTTTTTTTCTTGCAGCAAGGGAGTGACAAGTGTGTGATTTCCATGGTGAGCATAATTAAGTGTTTTCAGCTTTACTTTATTTTCTATTTACAGTTGTTACGCTGTTAATACAGCAAATCTTAGCTGTTTTTCTCAGATTGGGCAGCATTTGTATTGGCTCTGCTATTTCTTCAGAAAATTTATGGTTAAATTAAGGAAATCCATTTTTATTTTGCTGATTCTCAAACACTGAAACTAGTGCATTCTCAGAACTCACTGGCGTGCTCAAGGACGTATTCAGTCTGTTCCTCACAAACGCTTCTGTTCCTTCATGCTTTAAGCCCACCACCATCATTCCATTCCCGAAGAAACGTGTCGTGACCTGCCTGAATGATTATCGGCCTGTTGCACTCACTCCAATAGTGATGAAGGTTTTCGAGAGRATTGTCATGGGTCACATCCAGGAGGTCGTCCCTGCCACTCTGGATCCTCTACAGTTTGCGTATCGTCAGAACCGATCCACTGACGACGCAGTCAACACTGCCATCCACACAGCCCTCACACACCTGGAGGGTGAAGGACACCTATGTGAGAATGCTGTTTATTGCCAATAGCTCAGCATTCAACACGGTTATCCCAACCAAACTGGCAGGAAAGCTCCTCACCCTCAGACTGAAACCAACTCTCTGCAATTGGGTGCTAAACTTCCTGATGGACAGACCCCAGTCAGTCAAGATTGGCAACTGCACATCCTGCACAAGAACTTTSAGCACTGGGACACCACAGGGCTGTGTGCTGAGCCACCTGCTATACACGCTCTACACATCCGACTGCGTGGCCTCACACAGCAACAACAGCATCATCAAGTTTGCCAATGACACTACAGTCATTCTGTGCGGCCCTCAGCTTGCTTCAGGAACCAGATCGCAGACAGCGGGGCAGAMCCTCAATCGATGTAAACATCCAGGAAGATTTAGTTTCACAGCTCAAGGCCGTAGGAGAGAGCCAAATTCTGTCTTCAGTTGTTTTGGGAAGAGAAGAGTCAGGCACACAATAACCATTTTCCATCTGCTTTAATGTCTGCTGGTACATCTCAAGGTGGCGAATCCAATCAGACAAATAGTGTGGACAAATTCTGCTGAGCCTATCAGCTTTCTCCAAGATCATCTGGCCAGCAAAGTCCAGGAACCACAGCCGGCCCACGACCCTCAGCAGAACAGCTTGCAGGGGGAAGCCATTGCTGATTTTTTTGGCAAAACAGGTTATAATAGTTATTAGATATAGCCTCAGTAATGATTTTCTGATAGTGATGTTATTAGCTATTTAATAAACTTTGAAAGACCTGTAATACACAGTACCTGCATTTACTGTTTTAAAAAGGGCTTTGTATTTATAAAATGTTCTAAAGTTTGACGAAGAACACTTTTTTAAATTGATGAGTAATGGGAATTTTGACAAGAAAATGACAATAAACTACTTAGTAAACAAACTGACATTCTGTCACTGGCAAGCTGTGGCACCTTCATGGCTAGGGATTTCCACCAAGTAATATATTTTCATTTTCAGAGTAAAAGTTTACAGTACCCAGACGTACTCACGTTATAAATATCAATATAATGTTTATTTAGAACGTTATTAAATAGCATAATTATCAGAAAAGTCACTATTGAATAACAGGCAATATCTAATAACTATTAAAACCAGTTTTGCCGAAAATCAGCAATGGCTTTCCCCAAAACAACAGCAGCTGCAGTGGAAAATTCTGATTCTGAAATGCTCTGGCAGTCTGTGGCTTTTATGGAGTTCCTTTAGTCGTATATATTTTTATATAGTTATATTTTAGTTATGTTAGAGGTGTATTTGTTTGGTGATAAGTTCAGTGTATTTGTAAGTGATATGTTAGGTGATATGTAAAGCACAACGTAAAGTGATAAATTTAACAGTTTCTGCAGATATAAGCCAATCAAATTTTAACAGTTTTAATTACTTTTTTATATTCTTAATGTCTGCAGGACCAAAAGAAACATGGAGCTTCTCTATTTACATTCAGAATTCCAATGATTTTGGGACTAATGGAACTCCATATATGGCAGTCTGTGGCAGTGTATGGAAGTCTCTGAGCGCTGCTGTTTCTCTGAGTGTTTGAATGTGGTCCAATGCGTGTGTCTCATGCTCGTTGCGTAAGAGCTCTTGCTGCAGCTCTGCTTTGGGCTGTTACATTTTTTTGCAAATTCATTGCAAATGTGTCGTCACAGTTTTTCTTCTGCAAATTGCGAAATACACGCTGGGCCTTGAGGAAGTGACTTTTGTGTTTTTGAGTCTACAACATCTCCCAACACGCTCCAGCGTCTGCTTTAGGTAAGAAATGAATGTATTTTTTTTCCACGATCACTTAAAATTCTATATTTTATACTCCATGTCAATAAGCTTTTAGAAAGTGATGCTTTCTGCAACTTTAATAAAAAAATGTGCTTTTCACCTCTTGAAATTTTTATCATTACCTTGTTTTAATTTATTTGTTTCCACAGCTGCTCTGAAACTAAGCTGAATGTGAAATGGCGGGCAACTTCTCTGACTGTGAGAAGTTTCAGATCGGCGTGCTGCCTGCGGTGTACGGAGTGGAGTTTGTGGTGGCCTTGGCAGGAAATGTGTTCGCCCTTTGGCTTCTGCTCACCAAAGAACGACGGAACTGGCACACGGGCGTCGTGCTGTCCTGTAACCTGGCCATCAGCGACCTGCTGTACGTCTTCACCCTGCCTCTGCTGATTGTCTACTACTCACTTGGGAAAGACTGGCTGTTCGGTGAAGCCGTGTGTAAAATTGAAAGGTTCCTTTTCACCTGCAACCTGTACGTGAGCATCTTCTTCATCATGGCGATAAGCGTGAACAGATGCGTGGCCCTCAAGTGGCCCTTCTTTGCTCGCTCCCACGTGGAGCCTGCTCACGTCAAAGTCATCAGCATGGTCATATGGGCCGTCGTCGGAGTCATCTCCTCTCCTGTGTTGAAGTTTGCCTCCATTTGTGGCCATGACTACAACAATAAGACTCTATGTGTGTCCTTTTGTGATCAGGATGAGGAAAATGCAGAACCCTTCCTRATTTACAGATATTTACTGGCTGTGTTTGGCTGTCTTGTCCCCTTTCTTGTGACTTTCGCTTCCTACTGTGTGGTGATACGGGTAGTGTGGCAAAATGTCAACATAACAAGGCTTGAAAAACGCAAGATTGCCTTGTTAGTCTCATCAGTGCTCGTCATGTATGCTGTTTCCTTTGTGCCCTATCATATCTCCCAAATCACTCACTTCTACAATAGGATCCACAACCGTAACAAACCAATTTGTTGGATCTACAACATGTACCAAATGACTAAGGGGCTGGCAACGCTGAACATGTGCATCCATCCTATACTCTACATGGCTGTGTTTGACAGCATAAGAGTAGCTTGTTGTGGAAGCAGCTCAGAGGAAAAGACTCAAGGGACGATGAGGAAGTAGAGCTGTTACTTGGTGATTTTATGTAAATTAACTACAACCATTTCTCTGACTTGAAAAATAATAAGCTAAATATCACATTGCAAATACACACACTTCTTGTTTACAGCTGTTATTTCTATTTTGTACTGACAACTCATAAAGGCCTTATGTTGGTAGTGTTTATAACATTTTTATTTTTGTATTAACTTTATCTTTTTTCCACTGTGGAAGCCCATTTCCGCCACCCTGATAAAAAATAAAACTTCTATCTCATAATTATGACTTAGCTATCTCATWATTATGAGATACTATCTCATAATTATGAGATACTATCTCACAATTATGACTTAGCAGAGATAATTATGACTTAGCTATCTCATAATTATGAGATACTATCTCATAATTATGTGATAACTATCTCATAATTGTGAGATAGCTAAGTCATAATTATGAGATACAAGTTTTATTTATTTTTTTATCAGGGTGGTGGAAATGGGCTTCCATATTCCACTCTTCTTTATATTTTTTATGAACCTAAAGAAATTTTTAGCACTCAAAAGCATCCTGTCTGTTTTATTTCGTTTTTTTAATAAAAGTCAAAATCTTGACAAGGTCTAAATGTGTTCTTAAGTTGGACATAAATGTGTATGGTATCTGTTTTATAAAGTGTGCCTTTTTCTTTGCCGAAATAAAACTCTTGTTTTGAAAAAAAAAAAAAAGGTTGGACACCGGTCGTACTTTTATTGCGACGTTTCAGTCCCGGAAGTGTGCCGCTTGTTTCGCGCTACCGGGTCCACCTCTTTAAGCTAGCTAGGCTAACCGAGAGGATGCCGTCGATTGAGTACGACGAGTAAGTGGCTGACTTGGATAATTTCTGGTAATGTTCATTGTGTTTTTCTGTTGTAATAATTGACGCCCGTGTCTGCCTTCCAGCTCCAAGCCCAGCTGGGCAGACCAAGTGGAGGAGGAAGTGGATGAAGGTAAACAGCAGTTAGCTTTGCTAGGTCTTGTGGAGAAGGCCAGCTACCACTTCCACGTGGTTGAACAACCTTTAAGAGTAGCTAAACTGTTCCGTATGTGAAGTTGTATTAAGCATGATATTTTTACTRTTGTGTCATCGTTTTGAATGAGTAAAATAGTCGAATTACTTTAATAAAATACTTTACATTTGGGCTGTGGCCCTTAGTAGTGACGTAGGCAGCGTCTCATGAAAACCGCTAATTGAAGTAAGCTGCTTCAAAAGTAATGTACGTGACATTTGTTAATGAATTAACATTAACTACGTCTAATGGTTTAAATGCTTTTATCTTCTTGCCTTTGTCAGTAAASTGTCTTATTATATATGCTGTATAATAATGATAAAGTTCGTATATTGTTTTTCTTATAGGCACATTACCACCTCCTAAAGAGACCGTTAAAGGAAATATCAAAACACTCACTGAATATAAAATAGATGAGGATGGCAAAAAGTTCAAGGTAACGATTTTTCAAGCATATGTTGTAGCAATTGAGCTAGTTGAATTGTCATTTATGTAACTAGATTTATTGTAAAATGTGTAAAACAGGCTTTTAGAGCATTGTTGTGCAGACATTTCACATTTTTCACGTTAAAAGCAAAAATGATATTTTTGTGTTTTGTAATTTTCCTTTATGTAACAAATCTAATAATGCTGTTTTTTGTAGTACTATAGTAGTTTGGCTATTCAAAAGCGAACAATTTTGTCTTCTGAAATATTAATTATAAATTGCTGATTTTTGTTTAGATTGTCCGGACTTTCAAGATTGAGACGAGGAAAGCCTCAAAAGCTGTTGCTAGGAGAAAGGTTTGTGTTCAGACTGAATTAAGTCAAAGCAGTGTTCACTTATTTAATAAACACCACTTTAGACATCCTGTCATGTTTAAACACYGTCGTTTCAGAACTGGAAGAAGTTTGGAAACTCAGAGTTTGACCCTCCAGGTCCTAACGTTGCGACCACTACAGTCAGTGATGATGTCTTCATGACTTTCATCTCCAGCAAAGAGGTGAAAAAAATATTTGCATCCTTTTCTGCCCTCTGTTGGTCCACTTAATAATATTTTTGCACAAGAGCTCCAGAAATGTACAGATTGCAAGATTCTTTTAAATTGGATTTTTTTAAATTATTTATTTATTTATTGGGTAGATTTTGCCTCACTTGCTAACTTTATTTTTTTTATTTATCAGGACCTGAATGCTCAAGATCAGGATGAGGATCCCATGAATAAACTTAAAGGACAGAAGATTGTGTCCTGTCGTATTTGCAAAGGCGACCATTGGACAACCCGCTGTCCGTACAAGGACACGCTGGGCCCCATGCAGAAGGAGCTGGCTGAGCAGCTTGGTCTTTCCACCGGGGACAAGGACAAGCCTGCTGGTTCTGGTATCATTTGACAACCATATTCAGATTCTTGGATGTTTTTTAGCGCTGGTTTCATCCTTAAGTTGTAATAATTAATGTTGCTCGTCCTTCCCCCTCTTTTCCTAGCTGAACCAGAGCCTGTACAGCCTGCACAAAGCAAGACTGGGAAGTATGTACCTCCAAGCCTGAGAGATGGAGGCACACGAAGAGGAGAGTCCATGCAGCCTAACCGCAGAGGTGAGTATGTGTTTGTGCAGGTCCTAAATCTGTATGTCTGTTTATTATTTTCAGTCATTTTGTAGCATTAAGAATATTTCCTTGTATAAATTGTAATTTATCAAATCTAACAGCTGATGACAATGCTACCATCCGAGTGACCAACCTGTCTGAGGACACCCGTGAGACAGACTTGCAGGAGCTTTTCAGACCTTTTGGGTCCATCTCAAGGATCTATCTGGCGAAGGACAAGAACACAGGACAGTCCAAGGTTAGCGCTGATTTTATGCTAAGTTCACACCGACGTGTTTTGAGCAGCAGGAGTGGGGCCGGTTTACATGCAAAGTCTATGGTGGGCGCGGAGCGTCAAGTCCGTTTAGCGTGGCGCGGTAGAGCATTTTCCGTGCATGCGGCGCGGCGACAGCAGCCAACGCTAGAGTTCAAAAATCTGAACTTTAGCTGCTCGACGCCCCGCAGCAGCCAGAGACAAATTTTTCCACGTGACAGTTTCCTGAATGTTGCCCACTAACCTGAAACAGACGGACAGGAGCTCTTTAGCTGAAATCAGCCGTCTGTAGTTGATGTTCTGGCTGGAGATATCAGCACCGATGCAGATCAGCAGCTCGTTAAACTGGCCTCGGGACAAAAAAATAGTCCGTCAGCTCACAGCTCCTGGAGTGGTGAAACTAACCGAACAAACCGCCTCTAAATCATCTGGTGAATTAATTATCTGCTGTGTGCAACGTTCGCCTGCTCTTTAGTAAATAAAGCAAAGCCATTTTTTTATTTTATCTTTATTTCATCCGCCGTTGAGACAGAACAGAAAAAAGCTGAGATGCTCCTCCCTCTTCAGACACGCGTCTAGTCTCTGTCYCGGTCTGAATGTAGTGTGTCCAACTGGAGGCGTTGGGCGCGTTCAATGTGAACATAGCATTACAAAGACCTGCTGAGAAGAACCACTAAAGCTGGTGTAGTTTATTTCATTGGTGGTTTTTCCTCAGCTGCATTTGACAACTTTTAACTACCGTATTTATTTGTGTATAATACGTAAAATTTAATCCATAAATCATCCATAAAGTTGGGGGGTAGTATTATACTCGGATATTTTTGCTTATGTATTTTAACTGAGATATTGGCAAAATTATTGAGTCTGGAAATGAGACTGTGTTGTAAAAAGCAGTTGAAACAAGCTCACCTGTGACACTCCTCTGTGCTCCAGAGCAAGGTAACAGATCTAAGCAGGTAACATGATGTGGAAAAAAGTGTGTGTGTGTGTGTGTGTGTGT